TTTTCAGCTTGTTTTGATGCAGGTTCCCAGGTCGTCAATGTTATTTTGTTTCCTGGCTTTAAGATGTCTCGTTGCAAATACTATTCAGAACAATAGTTGTTTCTTCCTGAAGAACTAAGAACACGTCATCTTCATAACTAACTGTGGGACTTTCACACACCCCTTCTTTGTCACCTTCTATCATAAACAGAAACTTTACAAAGTATTTGGAATATACCAGGGGGATGTTGGAGGAACTATTAATGTAATGGAGATAATATTTTTAAAAGCACAAACTGCTTTACGGAGGAGGAGAGCAGGGAGATGACAAAGACTGTGGTGACGCCTTTGACGGCATGTATCGCCATCCTCTCCAGCTGCCCCAATATGACAATATAACAATTTGTGGTCCCCAAGGATCAATCAAAATCTGAAAAAAATTACGTAATACTTTTTTTAGAAAAAGGAAGGCACGCAGTTTATCAGTGAATTGGACATTGTCGCCTCTGACCCAGGGCTCGGTGGTGAGAAGTCCCGCCTACGGCCTGTGGCCAGCCACAGCCCTTGGGAGAACTGTCCAGAACGTCCAGTTTATCTTTCATCCTCCCCTCTGCGCTGTTGCTCCCGATGTCAGAGCCCACCTCCCCTCCCCCGCCGAAGGCCCAGAGCTCACAAGCTCCCTTGTGGTGCCCTGGTTCCCACAGGAAAGGGGAAGGAACGTGCTGGCGTCCCCTCAGCACACCCCAGGAGGCTCTTCTAAGGATGAGGGGGCTCTGGAAGGGAGGGCAGCCTGGACCTGAGCGTCTGAGGCTTTGCTCAGAAAACCTGGATGTCGGGGACAAAGAGAGAAGTGGCACTGAGAAGCCCTGGGGAATGCGGCAGTGAAAGCAGAGGTGACTGAGGCCCAGGGAAGGGTCTTGAGTAGACCTGGGGCAAGGGGTAGAGATGGGGGCCGTGTGGGCAGCCCCAGGGGGACGGGCCCCACTGGAGACCTGTCCTCCTCACTTTACCATTCTGGCCCTTTCTCAGTGCGTCAATAGGTCAAGAAGGACACTGAGGTCATGGCATCACACACACACAGAGGCCGCAGGAGCCCGCTGCGCCCGCGGCGGTCAGCAGGAAGCGGGACCTTCCTTCTCACACACGGGATGGGAGCGTCCCGTCCCTTCCACTCCTTTCCTCCCTTCCCTTCATCCCCCTGCACCTCCTTCTGTCGCACAGTTCCTCATGGTGCACCTTCCATGGGCTCGGCTCTGGGCTACGGGCTCTGGGATACAGTGTTGACAAGACGTGCTCTCATCAAATGGGAGGGACACACCTCACCCTCATGACATAGATAAAGGACAGAATAAGGCAGTAATGCATGTAAGGGCCCACAAAGAAGGGGACAGAAGTCAAGGGCTAAGGGAGGGTGGTAGGAGGAAACCAGGTCGCTGGTCATATTGGGGGTGGGGGCGGAATGCTGGGGGGTGGCTGTTGCGGTGTGGGGCCTTTTGGTGGCCTGAGGAAGGTCAGATTGAATCACACTCCTTCCTCCCCCTTGCCTCTTTCCTACATACCCCCCAGCCCTGAGCCTTTCCAGAAGATGCTGAAGGGAGGACACCTTAGGTAAAAGTCCTGTGAGGCCCATGTCAGTGTCGTTCGTAAAGAACCAGTGTCCCCACCGTTCATTCCTCCCCTGACCCCTGCACACCCAGATGTTGATGCCCCCAAATTACCTGTTTTCTTCTCATTTAAAATCATTTTTTAATTTTGACAATCAAGAATCCAGACCTCAAGGAAAGCAACAGCATTATTATTCCCACAGGAAGAAATTCCTTCTTGCTGTTTCCCAAAGTGTGTCCCAGAGACCTTGCGTCCATATTCCACAAACAGTTGTTTTATTTGAACACAATCTTTTTTGTCAAGTTATCACTCAAATTTGCCCCCTTTAAGCTGAGGCCTACATTCTAAGACTGTGTTCTTCTAAGAACATACTTGGAACTCTTCCCTAGCATGGCCTTTGGAGCTAGGAGTTCTGAAAGAAAATTAGTCTCTTTATTTTAAGGCTGTGTCATAACTTGTCTGTTTACCGTAAGCACAAGATTGGGGTGCTTTTGAAAAATAAAATCTATTCTTAGGTCAAATAGTGATTTCTGGACAGAAGCAAAAGTTTTGCTACAGGCAGGCCATGGGCTTGGCAGGAAAAGTGTCCTTCACATACACTAAAGCACATCCCCACGTACCCTGCAGATCTGGGAAACCCTGACACCTGGGGCTGGGTTTTGGTAGAGAGGAGCTGGTAGCCCATGTGACCAGGCAGGGAGGGGTCCAGGAGGTGAACAAGGGACATGGAACCCCCTGGAGTGGACCTTTTGGGTCAGCCTCACGGGGCAGGAGAAGGCAGGGGAGGGTGGAAGGGATCTGCAGGGCAAGAAGGAAAACTGCTGGCTGGAAGCTGCTGTGATTTACAGGCAGGGGAACTGTAACAGCACCAGGTAAGGGTGGAGGGGAACAGCAAGAGACCAGGTCAACTTGCAGATCTCCATGAGCCCAGACAAGCTGTTGGAGGAGCCCATGGGTCAGTGACAGTCACAAAATGCTCCGAAGGGGCCACGGGCTCCACAGGCAGTGCCAACAACAGAGGATGTATTTCAGCTTGAAATTTCTCACATTTGAGGCTTTATAGCACGTACATTGAATTATGGCCCTAACATGGCAAATTTGAGATTTCTGAAGTTTGTTGGTGTTTGTAGGGCGGGGCAGGCAGAGAGAAGGGTGGGGAGTGAGCTGGAGAGAAGCTTAACAGTCACAGTAAGTGGAGAAAGAATAACAAACATCTGTTACTTCCAGAGCACATGCCATACACTTAAAAGCATCTTCTTAATTTCACTGACAATTCGGCTAAATATACTCTTCTCAGCCTCTTGTCTTACTTTCCTTATTTTTTCCTCATATGTCATCTTCATCGATTTTATGTTTTCCTCCTTTTCCTGCATACTCTGCTTGCACATCTGAGCATCCTCCTCTTCCACTGTTCGAATTTCATTGTCTAATTGATCAGTGCACTTTCTTCTCAAGACCTCTGCCTGTTTTTCCAGCCCTTCCTCTGTGCCCCTGAGTACAGCACTGGAAAAGCACGTCCCTCCGTTGCTCCGCAACATCTTGTCTATCAGCTCCACCAGCTCCTGCACCTGAGCTTCCTTCTCAGCCTCCCCTGCTCTGTCGTTGAAGGCACAGCCCGGCCCCCACACTCCCTGGTGATGTTTGGTAGGTTCACACCCACATTGGCTCTGGTCCTCCAGCTCTTCTTTGCGAGTGATCAGGATGATCATGTGCCCCATGGCTGGCCTCCCACAGACAGCCTCGGTCACAGCCATGGTTTCCCTACCATCCTCCGTGTAGCAGCCCAGGTGCACAACCATGACGATGGCGTGAGGTCCTGGGCGGGGGTAGACGGCACAACAGCTGGTTTCCTCATAGGTGGTGGCCAGGCCTTCATCTAAGGTAGAGATTTCTGGGGTGTCAACAACAAGCAGGTCTCTCCCGTTCCATTGCCAGGATGCTCTTTGACAGGTCTTGGCAGCAGCGTGGGGAGCAGCTCTAGTCTCAAAGGTTGTCTTCCCAAGGGTGGTGTTTGCTGTCGCTCTTTTCCCACTTCCAGTTTCCTACCAGAATGATCCTCAGGGCACCGTCCTCACACTCAGCTGTGATCACGTGACAAAGCTCTCCAATTTAGGCACCTTAACTGGGTATCGAAGGGAGAGAAAATATCGATTTAGATAAACTGGAAACCATTCCCAGCACTTCCTTTTTTTATTTCTTACCCTCCTGAAAATATAAATCGTTCCACATTTTCTAAGCTTGTGAACTTGTATCTCACTTAAAATCCTCCCTCTGGTATCTTCTACTCATTATTTCGGTTTCCATTGTATTTCCTGCTTATTTTTCTGGAGTGAAAGTGGCATTTACAATTTTAGAGTCTGCTTATTTTACTATTTGTCCATTTGTGTGATATATGTTTTGTTCTAGAGCAAACCCAACTTCGTTTACAGGATGTCAACTCCGAGGAATCCCTGTGGAAGTCATTAGCGTTCTGCCCTCCGTAGGAGCACTCATTCGATGGCACTAACAATGTGGACACGCACAGAAGCCTATGACTGCGGTGCGGGAGGCAGCAGAGCTCTGTCTCATTACACACAGCTGACCCCTGTGGGGACTCAACATGCAAGGAAAAAGATCATGTGGTGGGAGATGTGAAAACGGTCTTTAAAGTGGTATCCGCTATTCAGAGCAGTGTAAATTGTACGTTCTCAAGCTGCACTGAAGAAAAAAAAAAAAAAGGAAGATAAATTTGATGTCCTTATTTTTAAAATACTCTAATATTGGAAATAATATTTTTCTCCTTATGGTCTATAGTTACATAAAGTGTCTGAAGTGAGTTTGATGGTCATCTGGATCAGTAGTTTAGAGGATAATTTTGCATTGAGTGAGAAAATAGATCAGTTAATGTCTAAATTTTAAATTACATATATTTCTTGAAGGTAAATACAGCTTGTCAATATTGACCACAGTAAAGACATAAAATGAAAGAGACTAATGACCATGAGAGAAATAAAAAAGTACTTGAACAGCTCCCCACAAAAGAACATAATTTCCAGATGATTTTATAGGAGAATTCTGTTAAACTCTTAATGATCAGAGAATCCCAATGTTTCTTAAATTATCCCAGAACACAGGGAAAGAAAACTACACATCTGACAAGGGATTAATATCCAGAATATGTAAGGAACTCAAACAATTTCACAGTAAAAAAACAAATAATCCAATTTAAAAATGGATAAAGGAGCTGAATAGACATTTTTCAAAGGAAGACACATAAATGTCCAACAGGTACATGAAAAAATGTTCAGCATCCTTAATCATCAGGGAAATGCAAATCAAAACCACACAGAGATATCGTCTCACTCCAGTTAGACTGGCCAGTATTAAAAAGACTGGTGGGGATGTGGAGAAAGGGGAACCTTCCTACACTGTTGATGAGACTGTAAATTAGCACATCCAGAATAGAAAACAATATGGATATTTCTCAGACAATCACAGATAGAGCTGCCATATGATCCAGCAATCCCACTGCTGGGTATATACTCAAAGGAAAACTTTAAATTCTTTCTATGAAGCAAATGTAACTTTGAGCTCCAAAGCGGACAGATTGGATCAAAAAGAGAAAACTGAAGATGAATTACACTTACTAACATCAATACAAAATCCTAATAAAATATTAGCAAAAGAGATTTCAACAACATTTTAAAAAATGATAGATCATAGGGGCCGGCCCGTGGCTCACTTGAGAGAGCGTGGTGCTGACAACACCAAGTCAAGGGTTAAAATCTCCTTACTGGTCATCTTTAAAAAAATTTTCTTTAATTAAAAAAAAGATAGATCATGACCAAGAGAGGTTTATTCTAGAAAACAAGAGTGAGGTGGGGAAGCTCAATAAGAGGAAAAGTGTTAACATAATCTACCATCAACCATTCATGTAAAAACATTCCATAAAATATAAACTGATATGTATCTTTTTATCTATTTCTATTTTTCTGTCTGTCTAATCTACTCAGTCCCAAATCCAGAAACTTACTTAATGAGAAAACACTTCCTCACTAAAATCCTGATAGCTTCACCTAATTTTCTCATGGTATTTGAGGACTAAGTTAATGCAAATAAAAGAAAAAAAAATCACCATAGGAAAATGTGGTCCATATACAAACAATGAAATACTATTCAGTGTTAAAAAGAAGGCAATCCTGTCATTCGTGCTGACATAGATAAACCTGAAGGACCCTGTGTTATGTTAAATAAGCCAGGCACAGACAGACAGATACTGCATGGTCTTAATTATACGTAGTATCTAAAAAAGCTGCTCTCATAGAAGTGGAGAGTAGAATGGTGGTAACCAGGGGAGGGGAGTGGGGAGACTTGGGGCGATGTTCGTGAAGGGACACAAAATACTAGCTGACGGGAGGAATATATTCAAGGTATCTATTGTACAACATGGTGACTATAGTTAATAACAATATGCTGTATTCCTGAAAATCACTATAGAGAAGATTTTAGGTGCTCTAACCACAAAAAATAAGTATGTGAGGTAATGCATATGTTAATTAACTTAATCTTGCTGTTCCATAATGTGAACATATTTCAAAACATCATGTTGTATAATTTTTATTTGTCACTTAAAATAATGAATTAATGTAAAAAGTAAAATTGGATTGAGTTTACTCCTCATCCCCACCTACAAAATACGCCAGATGAGTTAGAGATTTAACTGTAAGAAATGGAACCGTATACTAGTAGAAGAAAACATGGATGAATTCTTTCAAAACGTTTGGGTGAGTGAAACTTTCTAAATTTAACCCAAAACACAGATGCAATAAAGAATAAAACTGAGAAATTTGACTGCATTAAAAAAGAAAAAAAGAAAAAAAATCTTGTGTCAGGCATTAAACCTGAAGGACCCTGTGTTATGTTAAATAAGCCAGGCACAGACAGACAGATACTGCATGGTCTTAATTATACGTAGTATCTAAAAAAGCTGCTCTCATAGAAGTGGAGAGTAGAATGGTGGTAACCAGGGGAGGGGAGTGGGGAGACTTGTGGCGATGTTCATGAAGGGATACAAAATACTAGCTGATGGGAGGAATATATTCAAGGTATCTATTGTACAACATGGTGACTATAGTTAATAACAACATGCTGTATTCCTGAAAATCACTATAGAGAAGATTTTAGGTGCTCTAACCACAAAAAATAAGTATGTGAGGTAATGCATATGTTAATTAACTTAATCTTGCTGTTCCATAATGTGAACATATTTCAAAACATCATGTTGTACAATTTTTATATGTCACTTAAAATAATTAATTAATGTAAAAAATAAAATTGGATTGAGTTTACTCCTCATCCCCACCTACAAAATACGCCAGATGAGTTAGAGATTTAACTGTAAGAAATGGAACCATATACTAGTAGAAGAAAACATGGATGAATTCTTTCAAAACGTTTGGGTGAGTGAAACTTTCTAAATTTAACCCAAAACACAGATGCAATAAAGAATAAAACTGAGAAATTTGACTTCATTAAAAAAGAAAAAAAGAAAAAAAAATCTTGTGTCGGGCATAAAACATTGTCAATACCATAAATAAATTAAAATCAAAAATATAAACTCTGCTATAATGTCCAACTCATTACACAATGTGTTAACTTTCTTAATGGAAAGAGTCAAAAATAGAGATAAATAAGACCAACCATTCTTAGAAAAATAAGCAAGGGGCACTACTACGATTCACAGAAAAAGAAATTGAAATGGACCTTAAATATATAAAATGATGCTCCACCTTGCTCATAGGAAGACCAAAGAAATGTGAACCCACACTGAGAGTGTTGGGGAAGGGGTTGAGTAGAGGCGTGAGGGAAAGCTGGGGGACAGGACTGCTCTGTGAGGACCTGTGGCAGTGGACACATGAAGGGGGTGTGGAAGACATGAGTGACCTGTGCAACTTTGGAAAACAATGCTTTGACTGGAGAGTGAAAGCTACAGAAAAGAAACTTACACAGATATCGTGCCCCATCTGCAAATTTGTTACTCACAGGTACATGGGTTAGCAATATGTATAACAGGATGAAACAAATAAAAAATATATTGCAAATAATGTTGTAGAAACAAGTCATTGATAAGGAAACGTGAAAGGCAGAATAAATCCTGAGGGAGTGCTAGACCTCACGGAGAGATCAACGAGACTTACTGGTTCTGTAAAAATGTGTATAGACAGAGAAAGAGAGAGAAGGATGCAGAAATAAATACACGGGTGTGTGTGTGTTTGCGGGGGTGAATATGAACACATATTTCCTAGCTGTGTCTGCTAAGGGGAGACTTCGAAAACGTGACGCCTCTTAGCAATGAGCACATCAAATGCCCAGAAACCCTGGTGTCTAAGTACCACTACCCAGTAAAGGGAAGGACGGGTCCCTGGAAAAGTGGCAGATTCCAGATAATATTTCTCATCTATATACTTGACAAAATTCCAAAAGTCTGGCAAAATACTCTGTTGGCAAAAGTTGTAGGAAAACAGAATGTCTCAAACATTGCTAATGGGAAAGCAAAGTGGTCCAGGCCTATGGAGGTAAATACGTAAGTTGTTATCCTTTGACTCAGAATCAAATCTAAGGATGTACCCAAAGGCACACCTAGCTGAGTGTATCCGAAGGTCAAAAAGAACTAAGAACATCTTTCTACTCTTTCCATAGTCATAATGCTGGTAATAACATTGGTGGTGTTACCCTAAAATTACTACAGTGTGTATATGTGTGTCTGTGTGTTGTATACACAGATATACTTACACACAGAGACGTACATCTTGGAAATGCCTAGAAATATGGGTTAGCAATATGTATAACAGGATGAAACAAATAAAAAATATATTGCAAATAATGTTGTAGAAACAAGTCATTGATAAGGAAACGTGAAAGGCAGAATAAATCCTGAGGGAGTGCTAGACCTCACGGAGAGATCAACGAGACTTACTGGTTCTGTAAAAATGTGTATAGACAGAGAAAGAGAGAGAAGGATGCAGAAATAAATACACACAGGTGTGTGTGTGTTTGCGGGGGT